CTCCCATCAACCCCCCCCATCAACCCCTCCCATCAACCCCTCCCATCAAAACCCCTCCCATCAACACCCTCCCATCAACACCCTCCCATCAACAAACCCTCCCATCAACACCCCCACAACACCCATCCATCACCCTCCCCATCAACACCCTCCCATCAACACATCCCCCCATCAACACCCTCCCATCAACACCCTCCCATCAACACCCTCCCATCAACACCCCTCCCATCAACACCCTCCCTCAACAACAATCACCACCCTCCCATCAACACCACCCTCCCATCCACCACTCCCATCCCACCATCAACACCACCCTCCCATCAACACCACCCCCTCCCATCAACCTCCCATCACCACCTCCCATCAACCCACCTCCCATCACCACCCTCCCATCCCATCAACACCACCCCTCCCATCAACACCACCTCCCATCAACACCACCTCCCATCAACACCACCCTCCCATCAACACCACCCCCTCCCATCAACACCACCCTCCCATCAACACCACCCTCCCCAACAATCAACATCTCCCATCAACACCACCCTCCCATCAACACCACCCCTCCCATCAACACCACCCTCCCCATCAACACCACCCCCACAACACACCCCCTCCCATCAACACACCCCTCCCATCAACACCACCCCCTCCCATCAACACCACCCTCCATCTCACCCTCCCCATCAACACCACCCTCCCATCAACACCACCCTCCATCAACACCACCCCCACCACCCTCCCATCACCACCCCCCCATCAACACCACCCTCCCATCAACACCACCCCCCCCCATCAACACCACCCCATCCCCCCAGCACCCCCCATCAACACACCCCATCATCCCTCCTTACCCCCCTCCCATTTTCTGTTGACTAGCGGCGTCCATCTACAATACGTTTTCTGTTGACGGAAAAGAGGGGGGTGGGGTGGGCGGGCAGGGCAGAGGGCAGGGCAGGGGCGGGGTGGGGCTTCCTAGTAACCTGTGCCACCCTTTGTTTACCTGGCCTTGTGTCCGGGTCGTCGTCAGCCAGCCAGGGGACACCACCACCACCACCACCACTACCACCACACACTGCCTCGACCGCCACTACCACCTTCTCTACCAGTACCACTACACATTGTCTCACCACCACCACTACTACCACAATCTCTACCACCACACACCTCATCACCACCACACACCTCTTCATCACCACTACCACTCACCACCACTTTATTATTAATGGCATCATCATTATTATTATTACTGTTCGTGTTATTATTAGTATTATTGTTATTCATAGTTATTAATCCTTATATTATGATGATTATTACATTATTATTATTATTTGATTGTGTATATCGTGTAAGTATTTTTTCCTCCCTTTAAACAATACACATCATTTACAATCCAAGACTTGATGTGGTTATGTAATGAAAAAATACAATCGTGAATAAATGGACGAAGACTAACAAGTGTACTGGTTTAAATTGTTTATACTGGTTTGAGGTTTAATGAAAGGTGTGTGTTTGTGGGGGTGGGTAGGTGTGTGTGGGTTGGTGTGTGTGTTGGGGGGGTGGGTAGGTGTGTGTGGGGGGGTAGGGAGGTGGTGGGTGGGGTGTGGGTCCCCTTGAGTACGATGACCAAAAATCCTATGAGTACAGTGAATTAGGGCTGTTGAAGCCTGGGGATACCATACAGAGTAGCCCACAGGCAAAGTAATTACCCCCTTTCCTCCTCTCCCCCTTTCCTTCCCCTACCCCTTTCCTTCCTGCTCCCCTTTCTTTTTCTTACCCCTTTCCTTCCCTTACCCCTTTCTTTCCCTTACCCCTTTCTTTCCCTTACCCTGTCCCTCCCCCTTTCCTTCCCCCCTTTCCCCTTGTAATCAGTAATGGTTTAATGTGGGTGGGTGTGGGTATATACACCTGTCCGCCTCCTACACATAAACCTTGTAGGGCTTGGTAACGCAGCATCGTCGGGTTTGTTATGGTTTCATCGTGTGTATGTATGTATGTACGTTTACGTGTGTGTGTACAGTATATGTTCGTTTGTGTGTCTGTTTACCAATATGCATTGTGAGTCTATGCCAACAATCTTAATTAAAGTAACGTGTGTGTGTGTTAAGTCAATCTTTGTCTTGTAATACGACTTTCCAACCTCGAGGACAATGTCGGTGTTGAGGCAAGGTTCACACACACACACACACACACACACACACACACACACACACACACACACACTCTATATCTTCATACCTGCTGCTTCCTGCCACCTCAGGCTCTCACTTCAAATTAAAAATACAATCACTTTCCATTCTGGTGGGAGGCTATGTTGTTTTGCATAGCGATGTTTTCGCCAGATTTTGCGCGCGCATGACGTCACTGATATCACCATTTGTTGTTGACTTTGAGGAATGACTTGTGTATGGGAGTCTGGAACCGTCTTGAGTGTGAGGATTTAACCCCTTGAATGTGAGGTATTAGCCACACTCCTCACCTTCCCTAACCACACCCACCTTACCTCGCCACACCTCACCTC